GATATTGATCATTATTTCTACTATGTATTAACTTAGTAGAAGCATAATATAAGTGCGAGGAGAACGTGTTACATTGCGGAAAACTAACTTTCTTCATCTGATTTATTGTGACAATAACAATTGAAACAGTAAAGAAATAGCTTCCACTATCCATCTTAACTGTGTTGAATTTATTTTAAATTGCACTAAAGTATTACATTCTAGTAAAAGTAAAGCGTAGTAGGGTAACCAAGAACAGAGAATACCATTTATTTCTGTCGCTGCACTTCCTAAATATCATCATTCCTAGAAACCGCGATCTGTATCGTATATTACTCCTCACTCAGTTCTTAGCTATAACGAGCGTAAACTGTATCTACAAGACGTACGGTCATAATTTAGGAAAGCATAAAACAACAAGTTTCTCATGATTATCTACTCGTGTCGCTTTGAAGAATTACGACAAATGCGTAACAGTCGTATCGTAAGGAAACGATTCCACTGCTTTCTTGACAATACATTATCTGCTTACGTTTTCTTTCCATCTAAAACGGGCACAACGTGTGCGGTCAAGATTTTTACCTAACAATTCACTAACAACAATTACCAAGATATTTCAATGAATTTTTACACATCGCCTAACAATGATGCTTTTTCTCTTCATGATGATTAATGGAATCCAATGTTTTATTTCAGAATACGATAATTTTGAAAAAATTAATAATTATCAAATTAGAAACAATTAATGTTGGCTAATTAATGTTAAAAACGTAATCTATTAATAATCTTCATAGAGCTTGCCTTACAGTTGTTGTTTTATTATAATTCTTGCACGCAGTAGATAATGCAACACACTCGAATTATATATTATCGTGAATTCTGAACGCGTATAATATCGACTACGGTAGGCCGATATGAATATGGATGAGTCGAAAGCATTATGCAAAACAAAATGCATTTAGGTGCGTATGGCCACTGGGGTGCCAGTGCCACCCAGAGTGCGCTTCTCCTACGATCCCTATCTCTGTGTCCAGTTGCAGTGCCAAATGCCACGACGCGCATACGTAATGCAGCTCGTGCCTTACATGCAAACTCAAAAATATAACTGTATTACCGCATTGCGATGTCAACATATTTAAATACGATGTCATAACACGAACTTATTGAAATATTTTTCATCGTACAGTACCGCCCAGTGGTAAGATGCCCCTTAACATTCATTCGTTACGGGCTAGTAGTTTATAGGTGAATAATTTCTAGGAGACTTTTACTTATCACAAAAATAGTGTCACTAATTTTTACAGAAAAACGTTTGTATAATTGCGGTCGTGGCGTGCTTAATCGTCTGACGTGAGCACATGTGTATAGATAACGTGAGAACAACGCTCCATTGTAGTACATCCAACAACAAAGCTAATGAGGGAAGCCGCTGACGATTACTCCACATCTGAATTCCTAAAATTCCTTTGATAAGCGGCAGGCATTAAGTAGATTCGAAATAACTGTATTTAAATTGGGCCATCAATAAATCATCAAATATCGTAAATATGCAATTAATGAAAGTCTTGACAATGAACAATGACATAAATCAAAGTACATATACAATCACAAGCTACGTAAGTAATCTGAAAGTAGACGATAGATATGTGGAAAGCAGGTGCAAGGACGAACACAACAAAAGGTATGCGGTGAGGATTGTGCACTATGTCAAAACGGTCGGATATCGTAATCATGGACCGTGAAAGCACCTGACCATAAGTGCTTTTGTTTCACTCGTAACCGACGCGTGTGTTAAATGACAAGTAGCTAAAAGAAACGCAATCAATGGGTGCACAGAGCTACAATCGAACGGACTGAAACCTCGGTGCAATACTTTAGATCGTAACCTCCCATTTCAGGGAATGATAATTTATTGTTATACCGTTTTCGTAGACGGCCAGCATTTCTTGTATGGCAGGTGACGCTTTACGACTTCTCTCGCACATATTTATACGGATGCAGAAACTCAACTGAGCGATGGCTCAGTGGCGAGCCGAACGACGTGTCACGGTCGCCTAACAGGATTACCTGTTCTACTGCGCAGGTAATGTGAGCCGTAGATATGGGCCACGAGACCTTAACCGGCTTATAATATTGTTAGGATTATGAGCTGACACGAGATTCAATTCGACCTTTAAAGAGGCTTAGGCTCGCTTTACAAAACCAGGTGTTATTAATATGAAAATATGCTTCACCTAATCTACATCATCTTACAATGTTAATCGTTATTATTTATATTATATAAGTAATAGACACCGATAGTGGTAGAGTGACTCGAGCCACACAATTTGAGCCCACTGCCACCAATGAAGAGAATGATTCATTTAAGATTCCAAAGTAGGCATTTCGAATTGGAACTTTTTTAGTACAAGATAAGTGGTCATGCTTTTTAAACAAAAAAGTTAACGATAACAAACGTGAACCTTATGTTTGTACCCTATGGTCATAATAATCATAGCTTTAATGCGCGTTGTGCTTACTGAGATGAGAAGTAAGTTTTAAATTATCCTAATATAAAGTAACTTCTGTTTTTCATAGCGTTTTAAAAAGTATTATTTATTATGAATGCGTCCGCTTACGAACAATTTTATTACAACGAATAATTTTTGACTAAATAATTTTGTTAAGTGTATTTATAAATAGTATTAAAAGGTGTTTTATAACGAATTTCAAGGGACTGAGCATTTTCATTCGTATAGAGAGTTTTCGTTATAGGGAGGGAACAGAAAAAAACACAAATTTAACCAATTACAAGAATTTCTAATTTTATGACTATCAATAGGTAAATTATTCTAAACATATAACGCTTTTCTTTTACTGGCCATCTTGACAGTTTCAAAGTTTGTTTACGACTGATAATACACGACAGCTGACGGTGGAGCGTTTAGTACAGGCAATGTTAATGCAATTAACAATAACAAAGGCATGACGGCTGTTTATGACCTCAGGTGTCTTAATTAGAAATTTCGGCACTTCAAAATTTTAGTTTTGTAAACTGATTATAGTTTTATAGTTTTATAGTTTTATAGTTTTAGTTTATAGTTTTACGAGAATACTCATACAACGCGATCTGGGTCTACCGCGTTATAGGCGTATATATATATATATTTTTTTTTTTTTTTAATAACAAATTACACTTAAGTATGTTGTTGATGTCTAAATACTAAAATATTTCTTCGTTATAGAGAATGGCTGTTGCGTTATAATGAGTGAACTAATGTATGGGTTTGTGTTAAACGAAACAAATCTTATAGAGAATCTAAATTATTTACGTTATAGAGAATTTGTCGTTATAACGAATGACGTTATAATCAGTTTACTTCGTTTCTCACAGAGAGAGACTACCCAGATGGTGAACCAGTTTTTAATGTTACTAGTAGACAATAAAGGTATTATTTTCTTAAAGAAAGGGGTAAGCCGTGACGGGTCAGCGTTAATTGCAGGTCGCGTTGAAAGGTAAGCCACTTAGCATCGTAGGCACTAGTTACCGGGTTGTCCAACTTAAACAGCAGTAGGTATTCGTCGTTTTGATGTTTTTTGCATATAAATAAAAGTGTATAGCCTTCGTTCATGGCTAACAGTTTTATTGGGCTGCTATTTATTTGAGATTGACTTCAAACAGTCACATATCCTAATTTTTGAAGGAGCCAAATAAACTGAATGTTTTTGGCTTTATACCTCCCTATAACTTATTTAACGGATATAAACGCCAACATTCGCATACATGTATTACATTATTAACATAGCTCGACGAACGAGTGATTATCAATGTAGTCAAGTCTTGCTAATATACAATTTGTATACGTTAAAATAACTTTTGTATAAATACATCTATCTATCTTGTGTAACATAATAATATTATATTAATTTACATTTTCAGAAACAAACATATGAACATTGTTCTATAATTTGTGCTTTCTGTATTCTCTATATATAAAACATTTTTTTTTTCTATCAAATTAATCCATTATCGTATTTAAATGTCCAATCATTTATATATATATATATATATATATATATATATATATATAATAACAAAAGAGCACACGAATTAATTAATATAGTTACTAGATATAATACAATAACAGATCACAATGATAACCATTCAGGACCGTAACAGCCATTCAAGTTTTTGCCAGGCTTGAAAAACAAAGGTTTAAATCTAAGTAATTTAAGTAGTTAATTATAATGTTGTTTTTATGCATTGTAGAAACCCACCTTTATTTACCAGTGTAAAGGAAACTAGCAAGAGGTATTTTGGAATTTGATCCCTTTTGATACCAGTCTTAAAACTGATCGATTACAGACTAAACCAAATATTTTTATGAAATAAATTTTGAATTAGTAAGGTATTTATTTGAGCAGCCTAATGTGTTTACCTAGGACTTAATTTAATTTCTTAATTAGAAAAATGAATTTACTCACCCAGTATAATAACGAGTTCGTGGTTCAATATTAAGGCACGTGTATATTATTCGATAAAATAATTTAATGTGTGATGGAATAAACGCCGTTACGCCGTACGCGTCTATCAAAATCGGCTCGAGCGTCGACAACACTACACACAGCGATCCTAGCTTCGGTTTGATTGATAAACAAACGAAGCAGCGCGCGCATTTTTCGACTAAATATCGCCAGCTCTAAAATGTAGTACCAAAATAATAATATTATTTATCCAAATATGTTTGTAATATAAATAACATTTTTTATAGAGAAATATGCATTACAAACTTAAATTTTTTAAATAGATTAAATAATGATTCTGCCTTTTAACTCATTTATGACATTTATGTATTATATCTGTGTTTTAGCAGACGGTTAATTTAGTCTGTACCCTTTGTAATATGTCATTTTACTAAACGTCACTTCTACGAAATTTATGTGACAGTGATTTATAAAAATCGCCAGGGTGCCGAATTTTCTATTAAAATTTTAATCAATAGCATAAATTAACAAAATATAATAAGGAGAAAAAAATAAGTATGGGTTACAAAATTCTAAAATTGGCTTCCTCTCCTTTTCGGGTAAGAAATCAACATTAATCTGATATCATATTATAATGTGTCATACAAATCTTATATTATGCAACCTATGATACAATCATAATAAAATTACATTAAATATATTTCGTTAAATGGATTGGAAATACTTTTTATATTCTAACATGCTTTATCAACACGTATAAAATAACCTGTATCCCTAACTAGACGTCTGTATCAGGCTATTGCTGCAGTATTGACCTTCAAACATGTGACCGACTGTCAGATTACTTCTCGTCTATTATCAATTATGAATAAAATGAAAGTAATTTTTATTTCGCTAACTCTCATCTTATATTGTGTGAATTTCCTCATTAAATAAAGGCCATCAGTTATAGAAATGTAATGTTTGATCAATATGAAAGTAAAATTAAACTATGTTGTAAAGAATGAAACTATAGACGATTTTTTTAAAAGTCAGTATGAATATACCATTAAGTCTTAAGTTAAAAAAGTTGTGGATCAGCTTGTATCTGTGCACATGTTAAAGTATTTTTTTTTTACAGAATGGAAGCCTCAGGATTGCAGTTAGGCAATATGCCACCACACATGAAGCAGATGTTGTTGTAATTGGTTCGGGCCCTGGCGGTTATGTCGCTGCCATCAAAGCTGCACAGTTAGGATTCAAGGTTTAAATCAATTAATGTTATAATGTACTTATTAGTGAAAAAATTTAGAAGTAAAAAAGGATGGAGTATTTAATAAAGTTAATTTTTAATTAACAAATATTAACTTTACTACAAGTAATAATAAATATTTTTCTAACTGTACCTTTTTATTTTAGACCATTTCAGTTGAAAAGGATCCTACACTAGGTGGAACATGTTTAAATGTGGGTTGTATTCCATCAAAGGCATTGCTCCACAATTCTCACTTATACCATATGGCAAAGCACGACTTTAAGCAAAGGGGCATTGAAGTTGGTCAATTATCCTTTAACTTTGACACTATGATGACTTACAAAACAAATGCAGTAAAGGCTCTGACTGGGGGAATCGCTATGCTTTTTAATAAGAACAAGGTAAGCGGTGATCGATTTAATGAATTGTTATGAGTTGATATTATTGATAATATTAACATAAACATTTTAATATTAGTGCTTATGAGCCACATAGATGGTAAAATAAGATGTAGTTGTCTGTTCACATTCAAACTCACATAAAGAGATATTTTAATAAAATCTGCGAATATATAGATAGAAGAAAAAAATAAAATGTAATAAAACTATTTTGTTAATCTTGTAAACTTGTTTAATTACGTGTTAACTTGTTTATCAATTAGGTAAAATTAGTCAGAGGCGTAGGATCAATAGTCGCACCAAACAAAGTCGAAGTAAAAGGAGAGAAGGGAGTCGAAACAATAAACACAAAAAACATCATTATTGCAACTGGATCAGAAGTTACGCCCTTCCCAGGTGTTACGGTCAGTAGTTTCTATTTCACTGTAATTCATCAAAGCAATGTACTGTGATGAGATGTGAAAAATATTTTTGACTATATTTCATGGGGATAATTCACTTAATTACTCATTAACTTATTTAGAATATTAATAGAGCATTAACAGATTACAAAACTTTCTAAAAAAGTATAATTTATTTTGCATGTTTATCAATGTAAGTTATTCTTATTACCTCATGATAAGGGAAATTAGATTTTGTTCAATATGATTTTTTACTTCCATTATTTCCGGTAAAAATCTTTTTTACTTAATATAACATTATATAAATATATATTAATGTTTTTATTAGTTTGATGAACAACAAATCATTACATCCACCGGCGCCCTCGCACTAAAAAAAGTTCCCAAGAAGATGTTGGTCATCGGGGCCGGCGTGATCGGTCTCGAGCTGGGCTCGGTGTACCAGAGGCTGGGCGCAGACGTCACCGCCATCGAATTCTTAGATACTATTGGAGGTAAAATATTTCGATTTGACGGCGAAAGGAAAGTTTTATTCGTAGATAAGTACGGATGTAGTAGAAATACCATATTTAGATTAAAAGTTATGGCATATTATTGAATGAATATTTTGTTTGAATAACCTTATTTCCAGGCGTCGGCATCGACGGTGAGGTGTCGAAGACGCTCGAGAAGCTGTTGACGAAGCAAGGAATGAAGTTCAAGCTCGGCACCAAAGTCACCTCCGTGAAGAAAGAGGGCGGAGCGGTGAAGGTCGGCGTCGAAGGTTCCAAGGGAGGGAACAAAGAGACGGTATTCTCGTTTGATTGTTTGGAGTAAAGGTATCTCTTAAACGGAACAATCTGGCGACCATTCGACAAAACTTACAGCTGGACTGCGACGTGGTGCTGATCTCCATCGGCCGCCGACCCTACACCCGGGACCTGGGGCTGGACAAGGCGGGCATCGCCCTGGACGACCGAGGCAGAGTGCCCGTCAACAACAAGTTCCAGACCACCGTCCCCGGGTAACCCTCGTCCGGCGGAGGACCGTCGTTCCCGTCGATTCGACGATCTCCTCCGACAGAGTACACGAGCCTCCGTCTTTTCAGGATCTACGCGATCGGAGACTGCATCCACGGACCCATGCTGGCGCACAAGGCGGAGGACGAGGGAATCGTCTGCGTCGAGGGCATCAAGGTATTCCTCGGCCGATCTGGTTTGGATATAAATTGAGGGTATTTACATTTACTGCCAGTTCCCTAATCGAGGTCGGACGACGGACGAGAAGTGAGGACGACTCGCATTAAACGTCTAGAAACGTTTGCGAGCACCCGCAGCCCTCGCGTCTCCCTTTAAAGCCGGCAATCGTAATTTAATATTGATGAATGAGACCTTTCCAGGGTATGCCGGTGCACTTCAACTACGACGCGATCCCTTCGGTCATCTACACTTCGCCCGAGGTGGGCTGGGTCGGCAAGTCGGAGGAGGATCTCAAGAAAGAGGTATCTCCGGTCGAGTCCGGACGCGACCGAGCCTCGTCGACGAACGTCCGGGCTAATCGACTACTATTTCGCAGGGCAAGGCGTACAAGGTGGGCAAGTTCCCGTTCCTGGCCAACTCCCGAGCCAAGACCAACGGGGAGGCCGAGGGCTTCGTCAAGGTGTTGGCCGACAAGGCCACCGACGTCATCCTCGGCACTCACATCATCGGGCCGGTGAGTCGCTTTGCCGACTCGCTCGTTTATCTATCTTTGAAACGAACGCCCTGACCGATTCTCCTTCCTCAGGGCGGCGGCGAGCTCATCAACGAGGCCGTGCTGGCTCAAGAGTACGGGGCGGCGGCCGAAGACGTCGCTCGGGTCTGCCACGCCCATCCCGTGAGTGCATCCGAGACGTTCATCTTCACTCTATAAAAACTCTATAAAAGTCGACGACTAGTATCCGTTTCAATCTCTTTTCAGACGTGCGCTGAAGCTCTGCGGGAGGCGAATCTGGCCGCGTACTCCGGGAAACCGATCAACTTCTAATTACTTTAGCTTGTGCGAATCCATTTCCCGTCTCTGGTCGTCGTCCCGTGTACTTTATTTATTATGAAAATAGTGAAACTGCCGTTTATGTCGACAGACGTGTTCATTCCGTTACCGAAAATGTAAATGTTCGTAATTGATGTACTTTTAATCTTTGTAAATAGTTCTATGGACCCTTTGTTTTTATTCAAATATTAATTAAAATAATTTATATCGAACTCGTCGTTTTGAGCGCCCTCGACCCTCGAGCAGATCGGGATGGAGTTTGACGACGTCGAATGAAATCTCGAGAGATTTCGACATCTCGCGGGATCGAGAAGTGAGATCTCGCGAGATCTCGAATAGTTACGAAACCCCGATTGTTTAAGTCGAACGACTAAAACGCGATAAAAAATTGTTTTATCGCTGATCAACTGTTTAAAAAGTTAATTAAAATACACATTATTTTATAAGAAAAGATTTAAAACTGTTCCTATTATTTCAAATTAATCACGAAACTAATAATAGTAATTTTTAAAACAACCTTCGCAGAATTCACCAGAATAAAAAGTTATTTCCTGAATTACGTCTATCTACCTATCCTAGATATTTAGCAGTGATTTTGGGAATAACTTAAGCAAAGAGTATGGAGAGTGCTGTCCGATAAGTTGCATCTCATGTCGGTCCCTTGCTCCCCCCACTCAAATAGATTCATCTCTTTTTGTATGATTGACTCTTATCCATCTAATCTCACAGAAACACGTGAAGGACTCGGCCGCTCGCTCTCTCTTAGAGTACCTTTTGGTATTGAAGAGCCGTGTTGGTTTTTATAGCAGCAACACGTAAATTCAAATCCTCTGCAATCATTGAAAGAGGCGACTCGTCTCAGTTTACTGTTGCGGTAAAAGTGAGGATATCTGGGAAATGTGAATCAACAAAACAGATCGGGATTGCATTATTTTATTACACCTGACGAGTTAGAAATGAAAGACGTTTCGTTGTCTATCTTATATTAGTTTTCACAATTATGTGACGTCACGGATCAAACTCAATTCAGCTAAACTATGACAATATAATAGGTCGATTTAACATCGTGAGAATTCAGTTAAAAAGTAAAATATAACAAACAAAACAGGTTTCGTTGACTAGATCGATTCTCAATGTCACCGACATACAGATATGCAGATGAAGTGTTCCATCGATTTAAGAACGGGTATTAGATACGGTGGCTAACGATTTAAATAAAAACACGGGATTCCAAATAAGTCAAACGTGTAGTCGAGAGAGGAAGAGAAGAGAAGAATGTTATATTGATCGGTTCTTCATCCCCAGGCGTCTAACACTTCGCTGCACACGGTCAGGTAGAACTTCGGCGTCAGAATGTCGTCGTACTTCGCGCAGTCGTCGGAGAACAAAACGGCGGAAGCCAAAGTCGTGGCGTTCCTCTCCGTCGACTTCCGCAAAACAGCTTCCAAGCGTTCGATCGACAGATCGTTCTCCAGGAAGAAGTCCCTCGAGAGCCCGAAACACGTCTCCCAGAGCTGCGCGTCGACGGGGAACGACGTCATGCACTCGTCGACGATCCGCGCGGCTCGGACCGACGCGTCGACGGCATCCGCGTCGACGTCGACGGCGGGCGTCGGCCTCGCCTCTCCCCCCAGATATTTCCGCTCGTCGCAGCGGCAGGGCAGGCTCCGATACGCGCCGGCGTCGACCGCCGGGGGCGGCCGCTCGTTCAAGATCGCCGTCGATATGTCCTTGATCCGTTTCGTGACGGCGCTCGATATGAGGATCTTCAGCTCGTCCCGCTTCCTCGAGGACTCGGCGTCGTCGAGGGGTTCGCGGTGCGCCAGAAACGGCCGGTCTTCCGCTCCCGCGGAGGGGCGGTCGCGGTCGGCCAGCAGGTGTCGGAGCGCGGCCGCGTGGTCGCCGGTGTGGAGGGCCAGCTTGGCCGCCACGTTCGGGTTCGACGCGACGGCGCTCCCGTCGATCCAGGGCTCGAGGGCGACGACGAGGTCTTCCGCCCAGAACGCGTCGCGGAATCGGGCCGCGGAGGCGAGCGGGTCGGGCGAGGACCGGACCGGCCCTCGCCGGATACGCTCGAGGTCGAAGGCGAGGAGCGACTCGATCCGGTCGAGGTGGTGGAAGAGGAAGCGGTCGGCGTTCCTGGAGGCGGGGATCTTGATGACCCGCCTCGTCGTCTTCATCACGACGACGCGGCCGCCGAAGCTCTCTCTCTCGTCGTTTCCCTGGCGAACGAGAAAAAGGCTAGCGGGCGATTCCGTCGTCGAGATGACGTGGAATCGTCGGACGGGAGACGCACCTGCGAATGCATGTTGCCCGTGGCGTAGATCCGTCCGTCGCGGTCGAAGTAGACCGTGAAGTCTCCTCCGCAGGCCACCGTGTCCCCGCTCCGACCCTCCGTCTCCTCTTCCGCGTCGCGGCTCTCGGCCCTCGGCTCCGCTCGGCGCTCGGGGCGGATCGCCACCTCCGTGGGGACGTGGACTTGCTTCCGGTCGCCGCTGCCTGAAAAGGAAGACGGACGTCTCTCGTTGAACGTGGATTAATTTTGCATTCCCGTCGATCTCACCGAACGCTTACCGAGTTGTCCGTCGAAGTTCAGCCCCCAAGTGTAGACGGCGCCGGCGTGGTTCATGATGCAGGAGTGGTGCCACCCGGCGGATATCTGGAACGTCATTCATTAGTGGAACTTGTTCGAGGTTTACCTCGTAGTCCGCTAAGAGTGGCGGTTGAAGGTTCTGAGCTCGAGTCGGCAGGATTGAGATATGGGTATCCGTGAGTCGCTTCTGTATGTTTCTTAATAATCTTAATTGAAAAACCACACTAACGAAACACATACAACAACACAATAATGTGCCTGAATCACAAGTGTGCAGAACATTCAAAGGGAGACATTACAACTATAATACGTAGAAAATAAATTATACGACGATAAACTAGATTAAGAAATACAAAAATGCAAACATTTATATTTCTACTTTGCAATTGTTATTATTGGTGAAGAAACAACAGTGTCTGCAGCATCTTACGCCTGAAGACATGGAGATTGTCATAAAGTGGATCTGCCTCGCATGTACTCAAAGCTTCGTTTACTGCAAATAGAGTTTAGTTTAGAACTGACGTTGGTCCTGACTACCCGAACGTAAAAAAGGACGAATGTGTTTCTTGATTCTATTTAAGGCCCTATCCCAGCACGAATTGCTGTGTCTCGGGGTGGACTGTGGGGCGCAGTGGAGAGCTGGAGCACTGAGGCGCGCCGGCCCGGCCCGTTATAACAATTAGTTATGTAAAACATTAAATTAATGTAATTTTATCAATTTTTTTCTGAATTACTTGGCTTGCGATGAGATATATCGTGTAAATGTCAAAATCATGTTCTATGTATATACATTTTCGTCATAAAATTAATTCAAAGTGTCAAACATTGGCTATGTTTGGATTTTTTTCTATCGAGCGAAGTTATTTGATTTGAATCGTGTATCGATCTTTCAAAATGGATACATAAACTACTCTACTCCACCATATATTTATAAAGAACACGAAAAAATGGAAAGAAACAATGTACTTTTTGGAGTTTGGCGGTCCTTGAGAAAATTCACTCGACTTCAAACATTTGGTAAATCTACCAAGTTATTTAAATTTTGTAAACAAAGATAACGTCAATCAGGCGACGTCTGTGTTATTACTTGAACGGCATAGATGTTTGAAGAAATGGCGGTTAATTCCTTCGAGTCTGCCAACACTCAACATGGACAGAATACTAAGGGTTCCAGACAACTCTACCATATTCCAAAATGCTACGGACCAGAGAATTGAATAATTGCATAATGAATATGGCTTTACGTTTTTGAAACATTTAGTCGATCGTCTTATGAAACCTAGCAATTTAGAAGCTTTATTGACTATGGCGTTATATCTAATGCAGTATGAAAGATAAATCTCTATCTAGTATTACTCCCAAATCCCTTATCACATCGATCACATCTGAGTACCAGTACTCAGTTTATAGTATATTTAGAGGGGACTGGTAGTTTCTTTTAAGCAAAAGTAGTTTGCGAACATTTTTTGGAATTATAACAATTTTGTTATTTATGATCGCCCCACCTCTGTATATCCACAACATCACTCTACAATAACTTCACGTCTCGAGCGCTATTAATTAATTACTTTAAAATGTTCATATCGTCCGCATACAAATAAAAATTACAAAAAGAGTAAATAGGACCAAGAAGAGAACCTTGTGGGACACCTGATGTGGAAGTGTATGATTGCGATTCTATACCACCAACTGTCACAAACTGAGTTCTATCTAACAAATATGACGTGAACCATTTTATTAACTCTTTTTAATTAATTTATAGAGTACGGAGAAATTTAATTTCATACTCATCGCGGGGGTTGCCAATTTTTTTTTTTCGAAGGTTATTTTGCTCTTTAAGTAGTCTAATGGTAGTAGCTTTATTAACCACGGCGGGTAATTAGGTTAAAAATTTTCCTACGAGGCACGTGAGACCTCGATTTTTTACAGACCTATGCATATCCACATTTCTAGTTTATCTTTTTTAATTATCTGATTCTTGAAGAGTAAAACAACATTAGAAAGAACTAGATCCAATATTCTCTAATCGCTATTAAAACATTATTGTATGGATTGAGACAGCCTAGAGACAAAAATTCATTAAAGTAACAACACCAAGTGAACTATTGCTATCGTTGATGTGGGCTAGGGCTTCGAGGACTTCGCCGGCGATGCGATATTATGTTTAAGCAACTCGCAACAACGGTCGTAAATACAAAATAACCACGTATTAAACTGTAAAAATGCCAATAGAGTGTAGAGGGATAGATAATCCACTGATATTGCCTAATTAATAATTTTTATTGTATATTTTTACCATTCACTATATTTTATTGATTATTTAATGAGGACTCGATGTAAACGTTACGACTATAGACTTATGTCATTGATAGAGTTTTCTTATTATTATTATTAAAAGATGTTTCTGTGGCGTCGGGACGTGACGACCCCATCGCCCACTGGTGAAATAACCTGTAACAGAGGTTATTTCACCAGTGCAATCAGTCAACCCCCTTCCTAGTGGGAGTGCCATGCTGTTGCTTTCGGGCTTCAGCCAAATGGGAAGGCACGACCGGGGCAGTACCACTGTCTCACAGAAAACCGGCGTAAAGTGATACAATAGGTTCATCTTGTTGTACTCGCGTTTCGTGCGGTGAGTGAGACTCCCGGAGCCCATCAATCCCCCCTCCCCTCCCCCCAAATATGAAGGTGCAGTTTAAACAGAGATTACCCCAGGGGGTTACCACACGTTTCCGCTGTGGAGAATCCCCCTCTTGGCGTCCATCATCGGAACAATTGGTATTCGATGGTGGATGCACTGGCTGCCCTTCGTATTCTGGGGTGGGCAAAAACTGCGCTAAAAACTTAAGTAGTAATAGGTTTCGATTTCGCAAACGAAAGAATCTACCGAAGGCAACCCCTTCCACGCTCACGGTGGACTTTACCAATGTTAGGGGGCTGAATACTAACCTAAACGCGGTTCACTATTACTTAGAAACTGCGAAGCCGGCCTTATTCTTCCTTACTGAGACTCAGATATCCTCCCCGGCTGATACTTCTTACCTCTCCTACCCGGGGTACAAATTGGAACATTCATTTGTGCCGCGGGCGGGAGTTTGCGAGTACGTCAGAGAGGATATCTGTTCTCGTCGCCTCGGGACGCTTGAAGGAAGGGACCTATCTAACCTCTGGCTGCGCGTAGACTGCGATGACCATCCGCGATTCTATGCGTGCCTGTATAGGTCCCATAGCGGAAATGACGAAACTAACCGACTCATCGAGCACATTCAAACGGCTACAGATTCCCTGCTCGAAAGGGTTCCGCTGAAATCGTGATACTTGGCGATTTTAACGCCCACCATGCCGATTGGCTTGGCTCTAATACCACCGATCACGCGGGAAGATCCTTTCACGACTTTGCTTTAGCCTACGACCTGACACAAATGGTCCCTGCGATTACGCGAATACCAGATGTGGATGGTCATAAACCCTCTTTGTTGGATCTTCTGCTGACTTCACATCTGGAAAACTATCAAGTCTCTGTTGACCCGCCATTGGGTTCATCGGATCATTGTGTGGTCCGGAGTACTGTGCCTTCTACGCGCCCTTCACGGCCCCGCTTTTTGGGTTGTCGCCGTATTTGGCACTATAAGTCAGCAGATTGGGACGGGATGCGGTCTTTCTTTGCGTCCTACCCTTGGGGGCCTATGTGCTTTTCGTCGGAAGCTCCAGATTCCGTCGCTGCCTCTGTCGCCGAAGTGGTTCTGCAGGGCATGGAACTCTTTGTTCCATTTTCTGCGGTGCCGATCGGTGGCAAGTCCCAGCCCTGGTTTAAACGTTCTTGCAAGGCGGCTTTGCGTCGAAAGCGAGAATGCTTTGAGGCATGGGCGGAAGCGGCGAAATCTCGTGATGCCAATACTAGCGAACTTAAAAAAGCATATAACTCAGTCTCCAGGTCCTTCAAACGGGAAATCACTAAGGCGAGATTGGCCCAACTCCCTTCAGGGACTCAAGCCTTCTGGTCTCTCACCAAAGCTGTCCAAGGGAATTTTTGTAAGCCCGCCATTCTACCACAGCACAGGGAGGACGACTCGCTGGCCCACACTGCGAAGGAGAAGGCCGACCTTTTGGGCTGTCTCTTTGCGTCCACCTCGACTTTGGATGACCGGGAGAGATCACCACCGACCATTTCACGGTGTGATTCTTCGGTGCCGGAAATCACATTCCGGCAACGTGCTATTCGCAAAGCACTATCTTCCCTGGACATTCATAAGTCGAGCGGGCCGGATGGTATCCCCCCAATTGTGCTGCGTACTTGTGCTCCTGAGTTGGCTCCGGTCTTAACGCGCCTTTTCCGGTACCTGTACTAGCTCGGCACTGTCCCGAAGTGCTGGAAGACCGCTTCGATACATCCGATCCCTAAAAAAGGCGATCGCTCTGATCCGTCCAACTATCGCCCAATAGCCATAACCTCCTTGTTCTCCAAAATAATGGAATCCATTATTAATTGCCAGCTCTTGAGGTATCTAGAGGGCCACCAGCTGATTAGCGATTATCAGTACGGCTTTCGTCGTGGTCGTTCGGCTGGTGACCTTCTTGTATACCTTACACATAGATGGGCAGAGGCAATTGAGTCCAAGGGGGAGGCGCTAGCGGTTAGTTTGGACATAGCGAAAGCCTTCGATCGGGTGTGGCACAGAGCACTGCTCTCGAAGCTTCAAGCCTATGGGCTTCCCGAGAAATTATGCGATTGGATCTCCAGCTTTCTGGCCGATCGGAGCATGAAGGTCGTCATCGACGGAGCATGTTCCGACCTTAAACCCGTGAACGCTGGGGTCCCACAAGGCTGAAATGATATGTTGCAACTTAGCAACATTCATTGCTATGCGGATGACAGTACTGGGGATACTTTTTACACTGGCCGGGCAGGTATTTCTCGGGCAGTTGTCGATGAGTACCGGAACAAACTTGTGTCTGAAGTCGAAACTCTACTTCGTTGAGTCTCAGGCGTTTTCCGCTAAAAAAACACCCTTTGTCGCTACTCCTCTTTTCGAAAACACTCTTCTTAAAGCCACAGCCAGCATTGGAATACTTGGCGTTGACATATCGAACGACTTTCAGTTTCGCGGTCATTTGGAGGGAAAGGCTAAATTAGCCTCCAAAAAGCTTGGTGTGCTCAGCAAGGCGAGGCGGTACTTCACTCCGGGCCACCGCATGCAACTATATAAAGCGCAAATTCGGCCCCACATGGAGTACTGCTCTCACCTCTGGGCGGGGGCTCCCCAGTACCAGCTCCTTCCACTTGACCGTATTCAACGCAGAGCGGTTCGAATCGTCGACGACCAATCCCTCTCCGACCGGCTTGATCCTTTGGCGTTGCGTAGAGATGTGGAGTCACTCTGCATCTTCTACCGCATTTACCATGGAGAGTGTTCAGAGGAGTTGTTCGGTCTAATACCTGCAGCTGAGTTTCATCATCGGACGTCAAGGCAAAATACAAAATACCATCCGTATCACCTTGACGTCCGCCGTTCCACAACTGAGCGTTTTTCAAGGCAGTTTTTGCCGCGCACCACCACTTTGTGGAACCAGCTTCCCACTGAGGTATTTCCGAACCAATTTGACTTAGGGTCCTTCAAGAAAAGAGCGTACCAATTCTTAAAAGGCCGGCAACGCACTCGCGAGCCCTCTGGCATTGGGAGTGTCCATGGGCGGCGGTATCACTTAACATCAGATGAGCCTCCTGCGTGTTTGAAAAAAAAGGTTTTGTTCTATAAAAAAAAAAAAAAAATCTCATCGAAAGCCCACCTGCACGATCCTGCCTCGCACGTGTTGCGTGTCCACGAGCTGCGGCACGAGATGGGTCTCTTGGGAGAGAGGCGCGGCGGACGAAGAGAGAGAAGAAGAAGAGTTGCTTCTGCGGGTGTGAGCGGCCCGCACTTGCTGCGGACTGGCGCCCCACAGCCACACGCCCTTGGCGGTCAGAGCCAGGTTGTGGAAGTACCCCGCGGCGATCGACTCCGCGGGGTCCGCGAGGGCCACCCTGAGCGGGACGGAGCTCTTGTCCCTGCCCCCCGTCCCGAGCTGCCCGAACACGCCGGCCCCGGCGGCCCACACCTCGCCGTTCATCATCAGCACCACCGTGTGGCAGGCCCCGCAGCACACGTCGAGGACCTGCGAGAGACGAGCGGTACGTTTACGTCTGTCGAACGCCCTAAATATCTCGGGTGCCCCGGAACTGACCTTTCTTCCTTGGAACTTGGTGACCAGCTGCGGGACGCAGTGGTCGTCGATGCTCCCCAAGCAGAGTTGGCCGTGAACGCCCCATCTGAGCATCGTTCGCTTATCAATAAGGTGTGGCATTATTTAATCACTAAAAGTCATCTTACAAATCGACACCTGTTCTAGGTCTTGATTGATGATTTTATTATTGTAAAAGTCTCACCCCCAGGTGTAAAGTCTTCCGCCCAAGTCGACGGCGGCAGAGTGGTAATGCCCCGCAGCGATGCGAGTGAGCGGGGCGTCCCAGGTTCGAGTCACGAGCGTGAGAGCCCCGTTGGCGGACGCCGAATCGCCGACGCCGCCCGCCCACGAGCTGCCCACGCCCAGTTGCCCGTACGAGTTGTCGCCGGCGCTGTAAATCTATAGGTCGGGGGATGAATATGGAGTCGATCGACTTCGCTCTCGAATAGAGATAAAGGATTACGCGATTCGCGACGAACCCCGTTCTCGGTCAACAACAGCGTGTGGTGCCTCCCGCAGGCCACGTCCGTCACCCGCCCCACGAGCTCCGCATCCACCGGAGTCTGGGCGATCATGACCTTGGCCTTGCCCTCGTCGACGACGGCCCAGTGGCCCAGGCCGCACGCCAGGGCCCGTTTCGGGGTCCAGCCGTCTCGCCAAGTGGCGGGTTCTCTGAGGCCCCGGGTTCCGATCTCCGGGCGAGGGAGGCGGGCCTCGAGGGCGCACACTACGCGCACGAACGTAGATATCAGCTGGAGCATTCGCGTGGTCTGAAATTGGATATTTACGTCATCGTCGAAAGAAAAGACACAAACACGAAGTGCGAAGACCTACGACACGTTTCCGACTCACGTAGACAGACGTGATCCCCTGCCTCAAGTCCCGCATGACGGGCCGCAACTGGTCTTGCAGGGGATTCAACCACAGGCACAAACGCTGAAAGCGAAAACGTTTCAAATCAATTCGAGTTTAGAAGACGTGAACGGCGTTCGACGCGAGGGAGTCGCCAGTTTTACCTTCAATAGAATGGTGTCGAAGGAGTCGCATCGGTCGGCTAGGAAGTCAAAGAGCCACTGGGCGTTGTGAGCCAGGAGCAGAGGCACCAGACACCTGTGCCGCAAGAGACAGGCGAGTGCCCCGCGACAGAGGCGGCTCCTAGCCTTGAGGGCGGCCAGCAGCAGCTCGGGCCGCCCCCGCCGGACGCTGAACACGGGCGCCAAGTCCCACAGCCCCGTGGCTGCGGCGACGCAGGTGAGCTCGGCCAGCTCGGTCGCGCCGAGGTTCGTGAATTTCACATCCCTGAAAAGAACGTCCCGCCTGAGACCTCCAGGCGACCGGAGCCGCCCCGTGCGACGAAGAGATTCGGTCACTCACGCCTCGAACTTCTCCTCGCTGTTAGTTCTGATCCTGAGCAGGAGAGCCAAGAGCTTAGCGGTGACGGCCGCGTCGCCCAGACTGCCGACGTCGCTCGTCTGCTTGTACATGGACAGCTCGTGCACGTGTCCGAATACACCCAAACGAGCAATCCAGCCGTCGGGCTGACTCTGGAATGTGCTCTGGTACGTCGATTACCATTTTCTACCAATTTCAATGTAGGACTCATTTTAAAATGATTGGCAAATGAAACACCGCTGACCTCGGTTGGTCATAAAATAATTAATCGTTCTTCAATCTCTTAGTTGAGCAGTGATTTTTTTTTCATTATTTATTTACTTATTTAATTTAAAAAGGCACCAACGAAACATTATCGAGAGTTCACGAGTAATTTTGTATTTGTGACACTGGAAGCAAGTTTGTGAATTTATTAAAAAACTCAACTAAAGCGTCACACAGACCTGCGAGAGCGAGTAGAGATAGTGCGCCGGCGCCACCTTCCCGCGGGACATGAGCAGGTCCGCCGAGGCCCTGAGCAGAGTGGGGACGGGAGCCCCCAGCGCCGCACACGACCTCTCGGCGCCTCCGCCCCCGCGCACGATCAGCCCCACCAGCCACTCGCAGGGTTCGCTCCTGGGGACGCGGTCGTTCTTTAGCCGTTCGGAACGCCCGTTCGTACGTTCGCTCGTACGTTTACACTCACACGGTGTTCAGGACGTACGCTCCGCAAGAGGTGATCACCAAGCAGGGCTCCAATATAAACCGCGGAAGCTGCAAGTCGCACACGAACGTGGGTTCCTTCCAAGGGCCGGTCGCCGAGGAGGGCTCCTTGGCGGACATGAGGTACGCCTTGTGCACGTCGCCGATGACTTCCGCCGCCCACAGCCCGGACGGGTCCCGCTTGGCGCCGAGTAGCGATTCTCCCTACGACCCATTTCGTACTTTCACTCGACGCCATCGACGTAAGTCTACCTAACCCCATGCCTCCCTACTCACTTGAATAACTGAGAAGTGGGAGCTGTGCACTTCCAGCTCGTTCTTCCTTATCAGGTACAGCAGCCTCTGAGACCACAGCCCCTGGATGTACTGTCCGTCCTTTTTTATCAGTGGCCTCAGACTTCTCGTGGCCACGTCCTCCGCTGGACTTTCCAACTTTCGAGAATATGCAATAATTTAATTTTTTAACTAAAACTACAAAATGCATACACAGCGATAAAAGAAAACGCCTCCACAACTTACGTGCAATATAAAAGACCTCGATCTATTACACTGTGAGGTGTGAACACTCAGTACTTCAGTAATAACTAGCGACCCTCAGTATGCAAGTCATACTTACGATAAGTGTACCTTCGTTTAATTCAAACGCTGTCAAGAAGTGACGGCCGCTAACATATTGTGCTGTTAAGGCCCAATTGTTGGAACCTTTTCTAAAAGTTGGTAAATACTCCATTGGTTTCAGCACATACTCTACTGTTTGTGGTTTATTTTCATCTGAAAATCACATACATAATTGTATTATAAATTAAGTTCTGAAATGTGAAATATTTAAAAATAAATTTATAAAGACAAACAATATACACAGGTGTTTGATATTAACATATAAAAACACCAAATCTTGATCAACCTTTAGATCCTCCTTGGATTAGCAGAGTAATTTTATCTTTTGAAAGTTGTCGTATGTAAGACATGAAACTTTCCTTTTTGTCTTTGTCATTTTGAGCTCTCATTTGGGTAAGCCAATTGTATCCAACAGATCTGTGCTCCAAAACTAGTTTCCATTGTTGGGAAGGGCCATTAGAGATCTGAAATATGTTCATGACAAAAGCAATAAAAGACTGTACTTACGACGTAAAGGTCTTTACGCAGACTGAGCTTAACTACATCTAGTCCAAGAAGTTACAAACTTTGTTACAAGACAAGGTTTGGAATAATGGGCATTGCTATAGAGAACTAATTTAGGTTTGTAAAAAGTAGAACTAAGAAGTCCATTTAAGTATTTCTGAATCAATTTAATAGAGCTCTTAAAAAAATTTTAAGTCCCAATTCATAAATGCTGGCAAAGCATTTGCACATACAGTTTCACACAGCAGTATCACTTAACATTAGTTGAGCCTCTTGCCTGTTTGCCTCTGTTTAGATTTAAAAACTATAAAATATTTACTTACCAGTAAGGCTAACAAGTCTAGTGAGTCATCAAAACACATTTGCAACTCATTAACTTCCCCTGTCACCTTTGTTTCACCTACAATGCTCTGGGATTCTAAAGCGTAGAATGTTATAGTCCCATTCTGCAATAATATAAAGTATTCATAACTAGACATTTTAAGAGATTATTTAATGTTACCTTAAATATCCATTATGTTATAATTATATTACACAAATACCTTTGAGCCTATTATGATGATATTCTCTGATTCTTTAGTAAGCCACCATACTACAGATGTTGGTTGAGGTATCTCAGCAAGGGGTAAGACTGTAACACTTGACAGTGACCACTTACAATCAAATGTGTATTGAGGGACAAAGAGAGGTAGGAAAGGAACAAGTAGCACCTTCTGATCACTGACAATAAAGACCCAAGTACCACTTGGTTCAAAACACATGCTGTATACAGGGTTATCAATGAAATCCCAGTCATACACACTATCAAACCTCTCTGACTGTGGATTTATATACAGAAACATCAATTCCTTGTCACTTGAAAGAGCCAAAAATTTCTTCAGTCCTATTTCGTAAAAGCTGTGGTTTACAATGTCCAGATGAACTAACACATCTAATTTAAATAGTCCTGAGAAATCTAAATGTTCACTCTGCTGTGCCATTTTGTTTGTAGTATTTATGATTTTTAAGATTTTTTATCTACTTTCAGACATTTTATAATGTATTTTAAAAAACATAACAAATCTAATAGTTACGTTTTACCTAATTCACAAAATATAATTTAAAAAACTACGTATAATAAAAAAACGTCTATATACGAGAGTATTTTTTTAATATTTTTTACATATTACATTTATCTATATCTATTTATCTTTATTAAAGCGCGTTTAAATAAAACATTTATGATTTATTGTATCATTTATAAATTATAATAAACATACAGTTTATACGTCAAATAATTTTCCTTATTTTTTTTTTTACAAACTCTAAATTGAAGATTGTCATCTGCCCATAGTAATCTGTCATCAACACTAGATTTCAAAATATAAAATGTAATTTTTTAAACCGTATGAACTCTGTAAATACTATATACGTGCCCGAGACATCGTTCATACGTAAAATTCAGTTTCATTATCTGGCTTTATTTTTTTCCAAATTGAACTAACCGATATTCTGTCAGTTCGTTAAAATAACATGCTTCTTACAGTCTGCTACGCTATGCAGTTTTAGATACTTTTTTTTTTCAATTTTTTGTTAGCCAAGGTAGAAATACATTTGGATTTGTTCGCATATCCCGCGCCAAAGAATTCAAGGGTATGTGAGGCTCCACTCACTCCAGGCACTAATCTTTCTCCACCACAAGCCCTAGGAGTTGCATTCGCATTTATTTGGGACCTTAGTGATATCATAATCATAGTGTGGCGTAATCATAGTATCGTCATAATGTAGTTTACTACATGGCTGGTGCTAATTCAATGAACCTACTCATCTCTAATTCTCTTCGTCGCATTAAAGAAGAAATTATCTTTCAACGAAAATCCATTTAGAAATAACATTACGAACAAACATATAAATAATATGGCCATTTGACATGATAAACTTTTGTATTTTATCCCCTTACCGCATGGATACCCATAAATGGGAACTTATGTTTAATCGTTCGAAAATCAAAAATTACGTTGTTTTAACCTTTACCACATACTAAAGGTGCGTATAAATTAAGCGCGGCAAACCATCGAACATTGGCGGCCGCGCTCTATGTAGACGGGATCGCCGCGCGCGGCGACGCGAACATTGCCGGTTTTTGAGACCGTCACCGCATCAAAGGAGCTCCGAGCTTCAGTCGATCGCTCGCGCGCAGTTGGGACGGTTGTAGTTTTGGTGATTTGGCTCGCGCGGCGAATACGTAAAAAAGGGTGCGTGTACTTATGTACGCGCGTAAGAAGTTATACTTCTTTGGCGTTATTAAAAATAGTTTTTGATTGCATGCAAATAATTAAATACAAATAAATAATCAAAGACTGGAAAAGGAGTCATTATAGTCAATAAAGTTCAGATTACATTTGAAAAATAAAAAAAATAAATATTTATTATTATTCTCTTACATTAAGTGTAACATAAATTCTATTAAGTTAAAAGTATATATTATTGAAGTGAAACTTCTTTATCGAGGTTGGAAAAAAATTTAGTGTAACATTTTTTCGTTACGCGTCACATTTTTCGGTTACGCGCCATGTTGCTTTTTGAAGTCAAACTTCTTTATCGGCGTTGGAATGAAACTTCTTTATCGACGTATGGGAGAAATTTTGTAGCAAATCGTCACGATTTTCAATGATAGTAATAATTCTATTACAATTAATGAAATTCTATAATAATCTTCGTAGTAATAAGGTAAAATGAAATATTTGTATTCATGTCTATGATAATAAAAGCCTTTTGTTAAACTTTATCTAATTTAACGAATTTCTGTAAAGTTGCATATAGTAGATCATTTTTCGAAAAATAAGATCATAAAGAAGTTTCACTTCTTACGTGTGTACACCTAGTACACGCACAATTTATTATATATTTAAAACATCTCTACCAAACACTAAGATGTACGTTGTAGCTTTGGCAGTATTGCACAATATAGCCATTGATTTAAAAGAGGAACCTATCTCTGATGATGATGAATAATAAATAATACCCGATAATAATAATAATACATACGGATAGTTAACCTCAATTGTATTGAAGCACTTAGGAAGGTTGATGAGCACAGTTTTTTCACAAATATTTTCTAATATTAATTAGTATTGATTTAAATATTCAATTTAAATCACTTCTGATTATAATTCAGACACACTTGTATAATGAAAATAACTAGGTATGTTTCATAACCTTTTAACTAAGGGCCAGTTTTTTGATCCGTAGTAAAAAATGGTTTTACCATTTGTTACATTAACTATAGTTAAATGAATAACCATTGGTAAAATCGTAAATGCGTTTTTCAATGCCTTTTTAACTATAGTTAAACTTAACAATTTGTCAATTTGTTGCCAGTGCAATGAGCAATGACATCCCAAAAAATGTGGTTCTTTTTGTGGGGAACATTTATTTTGTATGACAACACTAGACATATTGAGTGAATGAAATCCATTTTTGCCATCTTCATTCGTTATTTGCGCTTTGAAGAGTTTGAAGTGTCAAATTAATCTAAATAACACGATATAAATAAGGTTGTTTTTTTGTGATTTAATACGGTTTACACTTTTTACGATACTTAAATATATAAATAACGATGTCCGCAAACAGCCAACGGTCAAATAAGTAAGTACAAACATATTTTCGTGTTATTTATTCCGGTTTATCTTGTGTTTCGTAATAGAAAGTAATACATTTATGTTTTGTTAAAGGGACCATACTGCTAACTTCGCCAAAAAAGAAACTGCCAAACTGGTGATGCTTCTCAAGGATTACACAGTCGTAACCTGCAAACAACTGATCACTGCAGCAATCTACAAAAAGATGCAGCTTGGAAATCTCTGTGACGTTTTCAACTCAGATGGGTCTAGACACCGAAGTGTTAAATTTAATATACATTTAATGAAGGTGTAGGCACATTTTTATATTTATTCTTGTATAGCTGTGTCCTACAACAAAAGGAAAAAATCTTTTAACCCTTTGGAAACAAGGAAGCGGATTATGATCCACATGGATAAAAAAAATTGAGTTTTTGAAACAAAGACAAATAAGAGAGGATGATTTGTTCAATTATGCTAAGGAAGAGCATCATAAACATTTGCTGCACCAATGAGAGGCCCACCAAAAATTCATACTGCATAAAGAGGAGGTGCACCAAAAAGTGATGCAGCAGATGGAAGAAAGGCACAATAAATATATGTAGCAGCAAAAAGAGTTGCATCAAATTGAGGTGAAATGCAAGAAGAAACAATTAGAAAATATTTAATTGCTACTTTAGGGTTTCATGTAAATTTTGTAATGTTTTTTTAATAAAAATGGTTTGTATTTAAGTTATAATTAAACAGTTTATTAATCAAGTCAAATGTTTTATTTATAAATTCTTGTAATAAAGTAGGTAGATGCTAACTCACAAATGTAATAAAAGCCCTAAAGAATATCATAGGTCCCTAACTAATGTGTAGCTGTAGATTTTAGTATAAGTACATACTTGTATGTGCTTATAATAATTATAAGTTAATATTATTAGTAATATATAAATAATATTAACTCTAATTCATTATGTATTCTATTGCCTATAATATTAACTTATGATAATTAGAAGTTAATATTATAGGCAATAAAACACATAATGAATTAGTAATATACTTAATTATATACCGCTGCGGTTCTGTAGCTAGTAATGAAGCAAAATAGGTTTGTATGAGCTGCTGTCTATATATACTCTTGTTCTTGTATTTTATTTAATTATAATAATTATAAGTTAATATTATAGGCAATAAAACACAATGAATTAGTAATATACTTAATTATATACTGCTGCGGTTCTGTAGTTAGTAATGAAGCAAAATAGGTTGGTATGAGCTGCTGTCTATATATACTCTTGTTCATTGGCAGTTTAAGATCATTCCCAATTTCAGTAACAATCCAGAGCACTGTTCCCTTCGATAGGGGGTAACAGTGACAAAAATCTACATCATCCCAGGTTTCTAATGGCGGATGACATTGCCTAAATATTTTTGGTCACTCATTAACACATTCTCATATAATATTATCGTCTTCTTCATCGTCTCATTAATTAAAGTATCTCAATATGTTTAAATTCATCATTAGATAGTAATAAACGTATTTATCATAGTTTGATTTCTGTGACAAACAGCTGTTACTATATAAATTACCAGCGGCCATCTTTTTAACCCTCCGATACTGAGTAGTTAACTTTTTTGACTAATGGTTAGATATTTTACCATTGGATGCTCTTACCACGGATCAAAAAACGCATTTTGCTGATATTTAACTAATAGTAACGATTTTTTACCAATAGTTGAGTTAACTACGGATCAAAAAACCGGCCCTAAGTAACAATAGGTTACAAGAGTGAACTGGGGCCTTAGTCAAGATGCCTTAACAGTAGTGTATGTTGAAAGTCAGAAACGAAATTTGTATGAAAACTTTTCGACACGAACTGTCATTTCCATACAAATTTAGTTTTCGAGTCTGGTCTGACTATCCGCCGCGGTCTGTTCATGATGGATCGCCTGCTGCGCGCGGCTGTCACGTCAAACTAAATTTATATTTACATATTGGCTCGCGCGGCAAATGAACGTCAACTCTGGTCGAACATTGGCTCGCGTTTGGATCTCATCCAATAGATTTATTTTTTCAGTAAACATAATTTCCTGAGTTTTATTTTCTAAAAAAATATTCTTATCCTAACCTAACCTCATCTAATATATTTTTGAGGGGCATTTGATGCCAAAAATGGCAGAACGGGAATTAAAGACTTTACTGCATATTATGCCATATATGGGAAATTACAGAAGTAATTTTTCGAAAAGTATAAGGATTTCAGAAAAGTGTCCAAAGTAACTTTAAACTATGTGCCATGGAATATCGCATGTATTTTTTCCAAAACGAAATAAAATTCCATGCGGTAAGGGGTTATTGTTCTCATCTATTAGCCCACAATAATTTTTCGTTCAATTTGGATAATTTCATAAAGACGTGCTACTTTTATTTATATTTTATATCTGGCAATTAATAAGTGTAGTTTAGGAAATTCGAAACAGCTGACTGTCGACCTATATACTTATATATTGTCACTGTTTTTTTTTTTTTGGAGTTTATGGCCTGGTATCTAGACCTTTAAGCCAAATTGTCACTGCTTACCTAATGCTAGTAGTGCCAACTTGGGGGTTTCCCCCCCAAATTTAGGTGGAAACAAAACGTCAAAGTACTAAAAGCTTGATAAATAATATATAAAAAGAAAATGAGGAAAAATTAAAAAATACATGCCAATAAAATTTAAGAAAAACGTAATTTAATGAAATAAAAGTACAATGTGTGTTTTTAGTGTAGTGTATATTTTGAAGTTGGCTGGTGATCTCAGGGAAAACATTCTGTAGGAGTTGGCCTACGGCTTTGCGTGCAATATATTAACCTACAGGCTACAGCTGACAAATGACAATTTCAATTAAGGAAAAGACGGATTTTCCTGATTTTCAGATTGCTTATACTAGCCTCCTCACAAGTCTTATAGTTATTTATATAACTTATTAAATACGAAAAAGAATTCACGACACTACGAATTTCGATACAAAATAAGTGATAGCTCAATTATATAATTATGTTGCAATGAAATCAACATAAACAATATGTCATTTGTGATTAAATTTGTTTAAAAATTTGATCAAATAATTACAAGGTAGTAAAGTTCATGTTTTCCTGTACATATATATGTACTACATGTGATGAATTAATAATTATTTACAGGAAGATGCTATCCGCAAAGTGCATATGGTTTCATAAAGTAATTACTCCATTGAGATTTCAACATAGAGCGAAATCAACATTTAATAGGGGGGTTCACTTCTTTTTCAAGAAAAATCTCCTTCTTACCAACAGTATTACTTCAGGGGGTTTCATGGTTTTGGGGGATTTGATACAGCAAGAGATTGAGATTCATGCTAACCTTTTACCTAGCAGATATGATTGGTCACGCACAGGTAACAAAAATTGTGGCCTAAGTTTATTGGTAATTTTTGTTTTAATATTTAAGATAAATAAAATAGAATAAATTTAAAGTTAGTGAAATTATTTGTCAATATATGATACTATATATTTTCAGCGAGAATGTTTATAATTGGAACTCTTATGGGACCACTTCACCATTTCTACTATATTTATCTTGATAAAATACTACCTCATACTGACTTGAAAACAGTGGGTAAGAAAATATTAAATGACCAGCTACTGGCATCTCCTGCAACAATATTATGTTTCTTTTATGGATTAGGATTTTTAGAGGGAAAGACAACGAAACAAAGCACAGATGAAATAAAGGACAAATTTGCTTTAGTTTATCTTGTAAGTAGATCTGGCTTTTTAATCTTTTTAATGGAGATTTTCAATTTATTTATTTTTTTTTTTCAGGGAGACTGCTTATTCTGGCCTCCAATACAGTTCTTAAATTTTTGTTATTTACCAACACAATACAGGGTATTTTATATCAACTTTGCAACTATGATATATAATGTATTTTTATCATTTATGAAACATTATGACCAACCAAAGATCTGATGTTGCTAAATTTTAATTAGTAGAATTATTTATTTGTAAAATATGAAAGCACAAAGTAGATAGGTATGTGTAATAATGTATGAAACAGCCTGGAAAACAATGAAAATAAATATTTATAATGTTGGTTACCACCATTAGAATGATATCTTCAATCAATATTTACCAGATGATGTTCACATGAATTCAAAGTAAATTTTTACAAAGCTAAGTCAAGGCTGTCGTCTGTATAAAGGATACAAACTGTTTTACATACTTTTATAGTTTAAGCATGTATAATGTGTTGTCTTGTTTAATACTTTCAATATAGAATATTATTTGATTTTTATACATTAACTTATTTCTAAAAGAATTACACAAAACTAAAGGTTTGAAACAATGCACATTGTTTATTTAAAATTTTAATATTGAGTTGTTGAGTGTCTGTAGCTTTTGTAAGAAAAACCTTGGTGAAAGTCTATTCCTACTATTAAAAAAAAGGATTAGAAGTGCATAATATTTTATTTATTTTTTCCTCTAATTCGAAATGATTTCTAGAGATTAACAGAAATAAAACAAGTAGAGAAATCCTTTCAATACTCAATTAATATGATCCTCCTTTGTGGTTTTATCTATTGATATATTTTATGTTGTTGACGAATAAAGGCACAGAGCTTGCACACTAAACTTACCGTGTAAAACACTAAAGTATAGAAGCTATGAGTATGCCTTTTGTGCTTGATAATATATCACTCTTATCTTATGGTTCTAATTGTTTATCCCCAACACATCCTCCAATCATCCTTTTTAGTCTGTAACTTAACAATAATCCGATATAATGCCAGTGCCGGTCCAAGAGGAAGTCCTAGTCCCCTCACGATGTCTGCTCTCCGAGCCATACTTATTGCTTGTCCATCAAACTCCTAAATATAATGAGAATTTATCAGATAAATTTGTTATAATAATTATTTACATTTTAGTTTTTTTTGGTTGTACTAAAAAAATTGTAAATCAGTTTTAAATATTATTTCAACTATAGAGAAGTATACTATTGGCAAATATAATTAGCTGGCAACTTGGGTTTGTTGAGTCACTTTATATTTGATTTTAGATCAATAATTCTAGACTATTTTGTAAAACCAACTATGCAATACCTGATCTCGTAAAATTGGTGCAGCTTCAGACAAATGCTCCATAAAGTAATCATACACATCATCAACATTCCAATTAGTTATGTCGGGTATAGTGGGGTCTATCGGAACTTTATCTGCAATCTTAGCTGCAGCTCTATCTATTTCATGAGGCTTTAAAAATGGATCAATTGTTGATGAATTTTTTGAACAAAATTCAATATTACTTGGATTCATTTGTGCCGGTTTATCGATTGATGGCCTGGATTCTAAGCAATTAGTACATTCCCATTGGTCCCATGCTTTCAGTCTCTCGGGTATTCGTGGGGAATGGCATAAAGCATGGTATGCATCGGAACATATACTGCACACAGTTAATATACCCTGTAATGTTTAAAGAATATAAATTGTAAATATAATTTTTATTGTAACCAATAATATCTTTCATGTTAATTTCAATAAAACTTACGGCATCATTGGTTTCACAACAGACTGCACACGTTTTACAATGTGGGCATTGCCAAGTGTTGTCTGGACGTGGTTTTAGAATCCCTGAGCCAGACTGAAGGCAACTTAAGTGGGCTTTATTGTTACAATCTCGGCACTCCACTAAAAGATCACTGTTTCCACGAGACTTCTGTACTAAGCAGACGGAACAAACATTTCCAGAAGTTTCGGTTTCAGTAAGATTTGTCTCATCCCTGTCTATTTCATCCCCGCTACCATCTATTGACTGCTGGCTTTCCGACAATGGTGTACCTTCTTTATCTACTTTACCAGCAATCATCATTCTTTTTTTTATAGTGCTTTTATTTAATGAACCCACAGGTCTTCCTCTTTTTCTTTTACTTGGAACATTGTTATCAGATGGATCAAACACTTTTTTTGCCATTTTTCTCCTTTCTCCTACTCTAACAACAGAGTTTTGGTTATGATTTGAATTTTGGCTGCTTGTAACTTGACCAGGTCTTTTTCTTGGACGTCCTCTAGTGCGTTGTGGAGATGATCTACATGAAGAATTTGCTGAAGATGTCATCTGTAATTGCATAAATAATTTACAATTGGACATATATATTTTTAAATAATTTAATAGAGTACTTCCTATAGGTAAGACCCTAAAAAAAATGACTGTAAATATTCTTACCTTTGTGTTAGAATCATTGTAATCAAATTTGAAACTATCTGAGCTGTCACCATCATGATCAGCTGGACCCAAAGCTAAAGCTCCATTTGGTAGTTTTACCAGACTACCAGAAGACAACTCTTTGTTAATTATAGCTTCCAGTTGCTTTTTGGTGTATTTAGGATCCTGCGATGCTGCTACTTTTACAAGTTCATCAAATGCAATGCCATTTTCTAAGTAACTTTGGTCTTGATAAATTAAAGTAGCAATTGCAGATGTAATGATTCGTCGCTCAGCTTGTTGCGACTGTTAAACTCATTGCTAAGGGATGGAAAAACAACTTCAAAATTTTTATTAAATCATCAACGAATGGGTTTATCAACTACATTAAGTATATGTTATAAACATGAATATATAAGTTTTGATTTCAATGAAGAGACTAGAAACTTACTATTGTTTTGTGTAGACCTTTTTCTCCACTTTGCTGCGTTTCTATAACTTACATTATCCTTGTAATCAACTTTATAAATACTTTTTTCCTTTATACAACGTTTTAGATCAGCTTTAGTATCTTTTGGTGCTACTTTATAACATTTGAGCATAAATTTACAAATTCTACCTATATCTGGTCTGGACTTTCGGGCACGTAGATGATCAATTGCAGCTAAAATTTGATTTTTATACTTTATCTCTGACATTTCTAAAACAAAAATTGAATTAAGTGCATTGTTTATACATTATTTCTTATTGTAAATATGTCTGGTTCATAAAATAATTCTACACTCACCTAATCAAAATCATGCCGAAAACTTTGAATATTTCTTCCCTTGCTCTTTTTAAATATAATAAATTTGGAATCAATCCAAATTAATATCCAGGAAACTTAACTGAAAATTAAAATAATATATTATCAGATATGGAACATTATCTATAAAATTTTAAATTTTAACAACACTGTTTCAAAACACATTTTGTGTAACTTTTTTACCACGCATAAACCATTTGCCAACATCTTTAATGCACACAATAGTATATACTGAATAACTTTTTAATATCAATATTAGTTACGTTATTTTTCCATACCTTCCACAGTCCGAAAGAAGCAAATATTTTGGTAATTAATATTTTAGTTTCCCGGTTCAATTAAATATTATACTCGATTGCTACTGACCCTGGGTAGCAACTAGAAAGGAAATATTTAAATATTTTTTTTCTTCAACATCGGTATTTTCGCTGGCCTCTCCTAGTTAAAAATCTCCAAGTATCAAAAATTTCATTAGGAAATAATAAACAACAATATAATATATCAATTAGTTATAACTCAATTTCATTGTCGACGCTGGTTATTATTATTTACCATTTGTTAACGAGTAATGAGTAATGACTAATGGTAATGAGTCGATTTTTATAAGGTGATCAATCTATAGCGACTAGTCTGTGGTGTGCCGTGTATTTTTTTTTTAACCGACTTCAAACAGTAAACACCGCAATCGGCAATAGGAGGTTTACATTTCAATGCATATATACATTAATTTATTATCATTGTATATACTAACGTTTCGTTAATCGGTAGGTAATTAATATTTAATATGTATTTTGTATTTATGTTCTGCTTGGAATCTGTAATAATATCCACTATCGTACGTCAAGGTTCCTCAGATGTCAATGCTAGGGATGCTCGATGATCATCGATGTTGAAAGTAAAAACATCGATGTTTTGACATCGATGTTGCTATGCCTAAAATATCGTCAAAACATCAATGTTAACTGAATCGAACATCGATGTTAACTCACGGCCTCCCGCACGATCAATGCAACTTACGAAACAAATTATTTCTTCTATGAAATCATCCACAAATCAGTTTTATTAAAGTTTTGAACGAGTATTCATTCTTTGCGCCCATGACCTTCGTTCTTTCTTCGCACTCTCACTCGCTCTTTCTCTCTCACACTTCCTCACTACTCTTTATCAACAAAGAAAATCATCGATGTTATCCAACATCGATGTTTTGTTTTCGATAAATATCGAACATCTACGTAGTTACAATGTCACACAGATACCCAAAACGCACTATAAGCGTTAATGCAATCAATGCTTAGTCTTATTATTCCATTGTGTACCACGAATCAAAGTTATCATGTAAGGGGTTTTAGCTGTAAGATTATAATTATATTAAAGGTAGTCTAATATCGGCCACCATAGTGATAGGGTCTAGCATCGACCACTTTAGAATAAGAGTCTCATATCGACTATAAGTTAAGAATACTAAGTGTAATTTACTTAATAAAGTTTTCCTTTTTTAAAAAAACCTTTGAATACCGTCGCGATTTGACTGGCGCAGCCGGTAGGATATCCGTCGTGATCCTGTGCCTGTGAAGACTTAAAATCAGTCTGAGTGTAGGGTTGCGCGTGTGTTTTTACGCATTTAACGGATATTTTACGACCAAACAAATAAGTCATTATTGATCGCGTAATTCGACGGTAAAAGGTAAAAAGTGAAAGAAGCAGAAGCAGTTATAAATAGAAGAAATGGGTTGCAGACTTATGTGAGTAAACCTCTTCGCATTCCAACCTGTCCCATTTTATTTCCGTTTGACTGTGTATTGTGTAAAATAGATTTAAGTTATTTTAAGTTGATAAAGATTTTAATTGAAATAAAAAAAGAAAATTATATTGAATTATTAAGTAAGTAAAGAAAATAAATTTAAATTCTTTTTAATTTTTATTGTAATAAATATTTTTTCTTAAAAATGCAAGAAATACGCACTATTCCAACTGATATTCTAAATATCATACCTAAGTTCGATGGGGAACAAAAACTATTAAATTTATTTTTGAAGAAAAGTGAGTATGTCATTAGAGCCTTTAGGCCAGAACGTCCGAATATAGCACAAGATATATACATATTTCATGTTATAACAAGCCGCCTTAGAGGTAAGGCAAGTCACTTGATTAGCGAGAGACAAGACATCAATAATTGGGAGGAGCTAAGAACAACTCTTATCCAACATTTTGGAGATCCTAGAACTGAAGAATGTATTTCGATTGAATTAGAAAATATTAAAATTAATCAAGGCGAGTCATATTTAAGCTTTTGTAATCGAATCCAAAGCGTCCGTAGCACATTATTTTCAAAAATTAATTTAATAGAGGACGAGAATATTAAGAACGCGAAGATGAATATATATAACCATACATGTTTATTGTTGTTGTTGTTGTGTTGTTGTTGTGTTGTTGTTGTGTTGTTTTCCTTTTCAATTTGCCCGAAGATATGATACGCGTTGTCCGATTACATAGATGTACAACTCTAGAAGACGCGCTCAGTGTAGTAATGGAAGAAGTAAATTTCCTTAACCAATATAAATCACGGAGTGTTAATAGACAAAAATATACTCAAAATATTAATGAAAAAAATAATTTAACACAAAATAATTTTCCACAAAATAATTTACCACAAAATAATTTATCACGAAATAATTTTTCACAAAATAATTTTAATAAGTTTAATCAATTACCCCAATACCAAAATAAGCCTCCAATGAATTTCAAATTCGGAATACAATCACAACAACAACCTCAAGGATTTAAACCTAATTTCTCTAATTTTAAATTCGGTACCAACCAAAAGCAAGGGATATATAATCCTAATAATCCTAATAATTCACAATTTAAGTTTGGTGGTGGACCACCTCAATTTGGATACAGGCAATTCCCCCAAACAACGAATCAACAACAATTTAAATTTGGTATCCCACAAAATCACCAACCAAAACCGGTACATAGATATGATAACGATGTATCGATGCGAACGGCGCCTCAAGCTAAGCCAAATTTTATGACACCAAGAACATCAAATAATTTATTTTATACAAATTACATGAACGACGATATGAATAATTACACAGATTACGATCATGAAACATTTTATACACACGAAGATAATTATCCCTATGAATATTATTATATAGATCCGAATGATTTTACACCAGATAATTATTGTGAATTAGAACAAAATTCAGAAGAAGCGGTTGAGACCTCAGAACCTGAAAATTTTCACACACAGGCCTCAATAACCGACAAACCGAAGTAATACATTTAAATCATCACGGTGCTTTAAAGTTACCACATATTGAAATTCCGGAAATAAATAGTAAGTTTATGATAGACACAGGTAGTTCCCGATCCTTTATAAGTCCTAAAATAGTAAATAAGTATTTGACAGAATTTAAATATTATGAGCCATTCGAAGTCGTGAGTACACACGCACAGAGTCACCATAACGAAGTAATTTATATACCTCTCTTTAAAACTTTTTGTAGTACAGATTATCATAAATTTTATATCTATAATGTGGATAGCGATTATGGCGGTTTAATAGGATCAGACATTAAAACAACTTGACGCTAATATAGACATGAAAAATCAAATTTTAAAAACTCGTGACACAGAAATACCAATTATTTATAGTCCACCATTTGCCATTAATGTTGATGCACGATCTGAAACTCGTGTTAAGGTTCCTGTTAATCTTCCCAATGGACAAGCAATATTAAATTCAATTAATTTTGGTAAAGGTATAAGAACACCATCTGCTCTTGTAAAATGCGAAAACGGTTATGCTACCACTATAATACAGAATTCATCAGATAAAAACTATGAAATTAAATTCACTAAACCTCTAATAGTTACAAGTTACAATGAAGAAATAATTAATATAAATAATACTCAAACAATTCATGATTATAACATTGATAAAATTCTGAAACAAAATTTGTCTAAATTACGTTTTGAACATATGAATGAGGAAGAAAGAACTAAAATTTTTAATTTGTGTTTTGAATATAGAGATATTTTTTACAGCGAGCATATACCATTAAGTTTTTCTAATCAAGTTAAGCATAAAATTCGTACAACTAATGAAGACCCAATTTACGTAAAGCCTTATGGTCAATCTCTAGCCGAAGCTGTTGAAATTAGGAAGCAAATAGATAAACTTTTAAAAGATAATGTAATACAAGAATCTAATTCTCCATGGTGTGCACCTGTACACCTCGTACCAAAAAAAATTGACGCTAGTGGTGAAAAGAAGTTTAGGATGGTTGTTGACTATAGAAGACTGAATGACATTACAATAGACGATAAATATCCACTACCTAATATAACTGACCTCTTTGACAAACTAGGTAAAAGCTGTTACTTCTCAGTACTTGATTTGGCTAGTGGTTATCACCAACTGGAAATAGAAAAAGAAGATCAACCTAAAACTGCCTTTTCAACTCAATTTGGACACTATGAGTTCCTTCGAATGCCGTTTGGGTTAAAGACCGCACCAGCGACATTCCAACGAGCAATGGACAATATTCTTAGAGGACTGCAGGGCATACATTGCTTAATTTACTTAGATGATATAATTATCTTTTCATCTAGCCTCGACGAACACCTAATAAAACTAAAACTAGTATTCGACAGACTTAGAAAGACCAACCTTAAAGTCCAACTCGATAAATCGGAATTCCTTTGCAAAGAAACAAATTACTTAGGACATACAATTACACCTGACGGACTAAAACCAAATACCGACAAAATAGACGCTATACTTAATTACCCAGTACCAAAAACTACGACAGAAATTAAGAGCTTTCTCGGACTTATTGGTTATTATCGAAAATTTATAAAAGACTTCTCAAAGATTACACAACCCATGACAGCATGTCTAAAAAAGAACAGTAAAATTGTAATTAATGAAAATTATTTAAAATCATTTGAAAAATGCAAAGAACTTCTTGTTAACGCACCATTACTCCAATATCCCGACTTTACAAAACCTTTTATTTTGACAACTGACGCATCTGACTATGCACTTGGAGCTGTACTCTCGCAGGGCCAAGTAGGCAGTGATAAACCAATAGCATATGCTAGTAGAACTTTGAATGACACAGAAAAACGTTACAGTACTATAGAAAAAGAGTTATTAGCGATAGTATGGGCAGTTAAACACTTTCGTCCATACCTATATGGAACAAAATTTACAATTTATACAGACCATAGACCATTAGCTTGGCTAGATTCTCTTAAAGAACCAAATAGTAAATTGACTAGATATAAACTCAGATTAGCTGAATACAACTTTAAAGTCATTCATAAGAATGGAAAGCAAAACACCAATGCTGATGCTCTCTCGCGTATTAAATTAAATGCTCTAGGTAAAAACGATAAAGATAATCAATCAATGGTAGTTAATGTAGATAACTCTGATAGAAATCTTGATGACTATATTCAAGAATTAACCGATTCAATAACACGATTAGGACAAAACAACCAAAGTAAAGAACCTGAAAATGATAACAGTAACTCTATGTCTTTTTCTGAAATATCTAGGTCTATTCCATCTCGAGTTAATTCCAGGTCATCATCACGCACATTAACAATAAACTCTAGTACAGATACAGCACATTCTGCTGAAGATATGGATACTGATGGCATTCCCATACTTTACGAAGCTATAGATACAAAACCAAACCAAATATTAATATACCCATGGTTTAAAAATGAACTTTCAGTTAAAATTCGTTCACATCCCAAGCAAAAGATTTTAGAGGTTCACTTACCCCTAGATAATTCCGAGTTAATAAAAAAATTTCTTAAAGAATATATTAGACCCAAAATTAAATACTTTATCTATTACGAAAATAAAGCACACCGACAATTATTCACACAAGTATTAATTTCATTATTTAGAAAAGAAACCGTAAAGCTTTATGAATGCACTGAAAGAGTAATTAATGTCACTGACGAAAAAGAACAAGAGGAAATAGTAATGAAGTATCACGTAGGCAAAACCTGTCACCGAGGTATTAAAGAAACAATTTCTCATTTAAAACGAGTTTATTTTTGGACAAATTTAGAAGAAACCGTAACCAGTTTAATAAATTCATGCGACACTTGTAAACGTATGAAATACGATCGTAGACCATTTAAACCTCAATTACAACTTACACAAACTCAATCAAGACCTTTTCAAGAATTATTTATAGATTTATTCTCCATAGAAGGAAAATATTACTTAACCATATTAGACGCATTTAGTAAGTTAGCACAAGCTTTTGAAATCCCAGATAGATCAACACCTGAAGTAGTCAGGGCACTAATCTTATAAAGTATTTTTCATTCTACGGCGTACCTACTAAAATCAGTTCAGACCCTGGTTCTGAATTCAATAATAAACTCATGAAAGACTTAATGACATTGTATAAAATAGACATTCACATAGGCACCCCTAACAATCCAAACTCAATGGGATTAATAGAACGATTCCATTCCACAATTTTAGAAATATATAGACTTGCGAAATATGAACATAAATTCACAGATGCTACATCAGTGATGACTTATGCTATAATGGCTTATAATCAAACAATCCATTCAGTAACAGGTCTCACTCCGTTTGAAGTAGTATTTGGTCACACGGAAAATAACAATCAATTCAATTTAAATTTTGATAAAGAATATACTCAACAATTAGTCAGGGATCATGCAAAAAGAACTCACTACTTATACAAATACTTAACCGATAAAATAGGAACTAGGAAAGAAAAAGTTCAACAAAGTAGAGTAGGAGAAACTAATTTTGATTTAAATGAAGGCGATAATGTTTTTATTAAAGGCATAAATCGACGTAGAAGCAAGGATAAGCCCAGGTATGAGCAAAAGCAAAAGTTAAGGGTAAAATAAAAAGAAATGTAGTATGGGGTAATTGATTTAACCACCATTTTAAAGTGAATTACTTTAATTTCATGTTTGGTTACAATATTCACTTAATATAATATAAAGAAATAAACATATGTGCGTCAAATACCAAGCCACTAAGCGCACTGGCTACGTACTACTGGTTACCTGCGTACACGCACACATTCACGCGCGAATCCCGCAAGACCAGTTTTTATGTAGTTCTGTGCGAGTGACGATATTACGATATCGATGTAAAATGTCGATAAAAATATGAAATTTATGTGAATATGAAATGTATGTTTATACATGTGTATGCTACAGTAGTATTGGTAGAAACTAGCACAAAAGATAAAAATGTTCCAATAAAAGACATAAAACGTCCCCCACAGGTTCGTCCTGCTAGTGACCCAAGCAGTAACGATCCGGGCCCTTCAACTTCAAAAGGTTGAGAAGAATCCAGGCGTTCTCCCTCTTAGAGAAGGAACCGCTATGATTACGTATGATAAGTGGATAGTAATTAAGACATTAGATATTAAACTTATTAAGGAAGAATTAGAATTTAATATGCATAGGTATATAGAACTAAATAGAATACTAGAATTACAGTTAAATACCAGTAGCCCTTCGTTAATATACTTCAATGATGTTAAGCTTCAAGTTAATTATATGTTAAATATCACATTGAACAAATATTCAGAAATTGTACCAATTAATAGACAGAAAAGAGGACTCATTAATCCTTTGGGATCTCTAGTTAAAATGATAACAGGAAATTTGGATTACGATGATGCTATTAAATATGACAACTTAATAAAAAATGTAAAATCTCGTGAACATTCTCTGGAAAAGAAAACTACTGTTATATCCGAAATGATAAGACTTGTTGCAAACTCTACTATAAATATTACAAACAATCTCGAACAATTAAGTGATGCAATTAATAAAATTAATAAAAATATTAAAGACATTTCAATTATTTCACATGTTAACCAAATAACACATATCTATAATTCCTTCTTACATAATTTTCAAATAATTTACACAAAATTGACCGAGATTGAAAACATTTTAGCATTCAGTAGAATGGGCGTATTACATCAATCTATAATTAATACTAATGAACTCATTAATGTACTTAGAATCGTAGAGAAAACAGATAAGCTGATATTTAAAGTAATTCCTGAAAATATTGTAAGAATTGAACAGTCCATGACATTGAAATCGTATTTTAAGAACAATGTTATTACTTTAGTATTAGAAATACCCTTAGTTAAGAAAGAAACTTATTTTTATTATAAAATTGTACCCTTACCTATCACCCAACCTGAAACAAACCTTACCTTAATAATATTACCCAAGTATCCTTACCTTATTGCGAAGGGGTTGAAAGCGAAATCGCTGTCGACACCATGTAAGAATATAGAAGAAGAAATATACCTCTGTGATGAGCTGCAGACCATGGTACCTGTTGAAGACACTTGTATCCTGGACCTGATGAAATATTCTCACAACGTCTCTTGCAAACAAATTCCAATAGAATTCGAAGAAATTAAAGTAGAACTTTTACAGATTAACCGATGGATAATCTACTCTAAATCACCTGTTGATCTGGTTAGAACCTGTGATAATGAAATTTTACATTACACTCTCATAAATACTTACTTATTAACCATAGAAGATAAATGCCAATATAACATTGCAAATCACAATTTAAGAATACATAGCAGTAACGGTGAGAAGCTTATATCTCAAAAGCTGCCGCTAGTAAATTTACCTGAAAATTTGAAGATCAGTATCCAGAGCAACATTAATCCTGTTAAGCTGAATGGGGTTGATTTAACCAATTTAAAAGTATTATCATACGCCCTACAAAACAGTGAAAATCAAAGTGATAGTGTAGTGAAAACCAATAGTGTCAGTTTAGGGACAATAATTCTATATGTAATTTTAATTTTAAGTCTTATATCCTTTCTGGCATACAAAAAGATAAAAACATGTATAATATTTCAAGGCCGAAACCATCCTCCGAAAAATTGTTCTTCTGATGATTTCGAGCTTAAGGAGGGAAAAGTTACAATGTCACACAGATACCCAAAACGCACTATAAGCGTTAATGCAATCAATGCTTAGTCTTATTATTCCATTGTGTACCACGAATCAAAGTTATCATGTAAGGGGTTTTAGCTGTAAGATTATAATTATATTGAAAGTAGTCTAATATCGGCCACCATAGTGATAGGGTCTAGCATCGACCACTTTAGAATAAGAGTCTCATATCGACTATAAGTTAAGAATACTAAGTGTAATTTACTTAATAAAGTTTTCCTTTTTAAAAAAACCTTTGAATACCGTCGCGATTTGACTACGTTGGGCTTTCGATTATGACATCGATGTTTTTCAAACATCGATCATCCCTAGTCAGTACATTGAGAGTTACGTTACTAAAATAATTCTTCAGTCTGTGCTTTTATTACGATTACTGTCATAACTCATAACAATAATTAAACGTTCCTTACCAGGCCATAAAATTTTGAATTATTATATATATTAAAAAAAAAAACATTAATTAACTTTGTACTAACCTGATAATTGTATTTTAAAGTATGAGAATATTAGTTAATGAATCTACTAAATTTTAAAAAGACAAATGGAGTCAAAATTTTTTGATGTAATTGGGATTCAAATTAAATCAATATATAATGTCCAAAGGTTGTCTCTCTCAAACTCTGCACGGGCAATTCAAATCGAAAAAAGTATTGGAAAAGTTGTAAATGCCGCAATCATAGGAGCACCAAATTCCGGAAAAAGCACTCTTATTAATAAAATACTAGAACGTAAGGTCGGTATTACATTACAATATTACATTTAAGTATATGAGATTTTAGCCATATATTCTTTTATTTGATAACTCTTAATTCTAGGTATGCGCTACATCTAACAAAGTCCATACCACGACAAAACTAGCAAGAGCCATTTGTTATGATAATGATACCCAAATAATATTTCTGGATACACCCGGTGTTGTCACTGACAAGGAACAAAACAAGTAAGTTTAAGGTTTTGTCTAAACTATAGTTAATAAAGAAAATTGTTTTCCGATTATCACATGGTTTATACAATAACAGATTCATAGTTAAAAAGAATGCATTCCTTTTTTAGATATAAACTACCTGAGTCTATGAAACAAGCATGTAAGAAAAGTTTGAGTTGTGCAGATGTGATTGGTGTAGTCCATGATGTCTCTAACAGATGGACAAAGGAAAAACTGCATCCAACTGTTCTTGAGATGTTAAATATGGTTGTTAATGTTCCTAGCTTCTTAATCATTAATAAGGTATTTAAAAAAAATGAGCTTAATAAAATCTATCAAACATTTTACAGTGATGATAACATAAACTAGGTAATACCAAATGGACAGAATAATATTTTAAGGTCTAAATATGATATGATATTTCAAACTATAAAACTGATTATTTTTAGGTTGATCTATTAAAATCTAAGAAGCAACTGTTAGATATAATAAGAAACTTAACAAATGGAGTTATAGCTGGAAATCCAGTTCCAAGTTATTACACACCTCAAAGCAAAGATCAAGGATTTGCTAATTTTTCTGATGTTTTCCTCGTGTCTGCTTTAAATGGAGATGGTGTTAAAGACATAAAGGTAAAAATATAATATGGTATAATAGTTACTATTTATATATGTATGTATCACTATACATAAGTGATTAACATTAACGAAAAACGAGTTTTAAGATTCCTCGCAATTAATACAGTGTAATATCTTTATAACGTCATTTGTTATAATGAAAAACTATAACGTAAAAATGAGTTAAATTTATTTGTAACCAATACCCATACATGAATTCTTCCCTTCCTATAATGTAACCTCTCTATCACGAATAAAAATGCTCGGTCCCTTCAAATTCGTTATAAAAAGTACACTGTATATAAATTAAAAGGTAAGAATACTAAGTCTCTGTAAAATGTGTATACTCTGCACCCAACTGGGAAGAGAATTATCCATATTTTGTTTATTTGTGTTTAAAACACTGAATTATTTCAAATAAATTTTTTCAGGAGTACCTAATATCTAATTCAAAAGTTCGCAAACTGCAATACGCTTCTGACAAGTGGTCTGATAGGTCAACCGAAACTCTAATAGAAGAGGCAGCTAGGGCTAAGTTTCTAGATTTTCTTGCACAAGAAATACCTTATCATTTAGAGACAAAGCTGGAATATTACGATGACAACGAAGCAGAGGGCAAAGTCACTTGTTCATTGTCAGTGGCATGTCCTTCAGAAAGAATTGTAAAATTAATTGCGGGTGCAGGGGGTGGGAGACTGCAACAAATAAAGTCTTCTCTTCGAAACGACTTGGTTGATATGATAAAGAAACCAGTAACTGTTGATATTAATTTGATCCCTAAGAACAAGCCCTCATGCGAACAGGAAATATTGTAATAACGTAGATTTTAATGTAATAGAATGATTAAAGATATTAATAAATACTACACATACAAAGTCCATATTTTGAACTTTATGCCTGCTGATATACAAGCATTGGCCATGTTTTTGACCTGTCAAGTTTAGTCTGCAACACGTTTCTCGGCGCATTTATTTTTAAGCTATTGTATAGATTTTATCGCGGGCTTAATTCTGTAACGAAAAAACCTTATACACGATAACGTAATATAAGTGCGGCCAATACGCGTTAGAGCGGGACGCAGCCGGTGCGCGTTGGAGTGAGACAGTCTATATAGGCGAGTCCGGTAGAGTGGTAGAATGAATTAATTTATCAAAGAAAAAACTTAAATTAATATCAAGGAAAAAAAATACTGCATAAATAAATCATTATAATTGCATAAGTTGAAAAAAAATTATGCAATAGCTTTACCGCGGCAGCCCCGAGTGCCACACGTTTTTTTTTAATTAATAAATAAATACATTTGGTACACTACTGGCCAAAAATAACAAAACATTACTCAACTGCTGTCAGAGTATTTATCTGTATGAAATTAGGGTAGATAATGTCCTATTTACTTTAACAAGGGTTTATTTATACTATACCCGGATATAAATCTGGGTTAAACGGAAATAATCATATACAACTCTTATAATAATAGATTAAATGATTAATCGATACGGATTACATAATGTACCCCGCGTGTATAAAATTAGGTTAAGAAAAAACTGATCAGGTTATTCAGGCTGATCAAACTGATCTTCAAAACGTCAACCATGTTTTTACGGATAGATTACGGTTAGTTGGAAACAACATCTAGGTCTTGTTTAATTTGAATCCGATGTTTAAGAATTGGAATATAATTTTCTAATTGGCCGCGTACGCCTGTTATAAAATTTCGGAAGGGTCGATTTCTAAATTTCAATATAGCCTATATTATTATATAGGATCGCTCGAAAAGCCCTTTACGTCTTAATTTAGGTACTTTTGTTATACATGTGGTGCTTGCATTTCGGCTAGACTTTATTAAAAAATTAATACCCTGAGATTTTGTCATGCCCAAAAGGTTGTGTTGTCTTAAGGACACTTCCTATAGAAATCTTCATTTCTTCCAAACATATAAAACAAACAGTAATACGACGTTCTACGAAGACAATGTTGTTTTTTTTTTTTTTAATTATATGTTCAGTCACTACCGATGTAGGGCGTTCCGTGCGGGGTTCGTCTTTGATAGAAGTTTTTCCTCGCTTGAACTCGAGATTATTTTATCTAATGTTTGGGGTGGGTATGCCTGATACTTTTTATTTTTTTCTTTCCTAGGAGAATATTTCGCATTATCACTATTTATTGAACACCCTCGTAAAATGCATTCATCTAACTAATAACAATATTATATTCTATTTAATAGCTTTTTTATTTACCTACTAAGTAGCAATAGACACAGCAAACGCTCTGGAGGTTGACACTGGTGGAGGATATCGCCGTCCATGGACAGCCTCACCGCCATAAGGCTCGCAAGTGCGTTGCCATTAGGGGTTGTTACGCTCTTTTCTTGACTTTAAATCGTATTGGTTCGGAAATACCTCGACGGGTTGGGTAGGTACATATAGTGGTAATGTGGCAGACATAGAAGTGATACGAGTGGAGATTTGTATTCTGCCTCGACATCCGATGATGAAGCTACAGCAGGTATTACTACGATCTTCTTCTCCGAACACAATTCTTGGTAAATGGGATAGAGGTTGCAGAGAGGTTTCGCGATTTGAACTGCTCCTCCATTAATGCGGTGAAGTAGGAGCTGGTATTCGGAAGGTACCGTCCATTGGAGAGAACAGTAGGTACCTGGCAATTTGGTTATTATATAATATATATATTATTGTAGATTATATGTAATATACAAAGTAACCTGACGCAGAGTCTATTGAAAGTTACCTGTTACATACACAAAAAAAAAACTGAATTACCTTTAAATTGTAATAGTAATACATATACGAGTACTGAAACTGAAAAAAAATATAGTTGAATATTAAGAATAGTAGTTAAAGAAAGTTCACGATAAATAAGTAATACCTACCGAGAACTTGGTGGAATTGTTTGCGAGTTGTTTAACGCATAATTTTACAAGTTGCTGTCAGTCTGTCACTCTGACAGTCGTTGGTCTCCGCTGTTTTATGTTTAGTGTTTACTTTTCAACTGTCTGCGTGCGACTAATTCCCTTGTTACAATTATTATTACCCGAAGAGCTTTGGAAATTGTTATAACGAGTTCCTAAATAATTATTACTTTAAATAAAAATTGTGGAGGTTATTTCAGCGGATTTAAAGGGTTATATTTCCTTAATATCCATTTGTATAGGCTGGTAATCATTTAGCTACTTGTTGGTTAGAGTTCAATTGCGTGACAATATTGGTGATACAGTGTGATGATGAGTGCCTAGAGCCAAGTGTCATAAAAATAATAAAAATCCTAATTTTGTATTGATTTTGTTGTGAAAATATTTCAGCAACTAAACTCTTGTCGCATTAATTGTGAATGTAATGCTTAAAATATTTTACATATGAAATATTTAATAGTAATTAGTTTTGTCAAAGTTTTAATCCAGATTAACCTCTGATTAAAAGTTCTGTCTAATCTCTACGTTTTCAGTCATCTCTGGAGGTCAGAAATAGTTTTAAGCATAGATGTTTTAAGCCCACACTAGATAGGAATTATACTGTTGGTATAAATATTAATTGAGTAATACAAACATTAACGACGCTTTAGTACAAAGATATGGTAAACACTATAATATTGTCTCAAGTTTATATCACCGTTTTAATAATAATATGGAACAAGGAGTTAGCTTCACCACAAAAAGTCACGACGATTCCCTTTTTTTATTTTGTCGTGTTATAAAAAAGTGGGAAGGTACACGCTATTGTCCTTCAAAACACAGTCAAGTTCCTTAATATCAATATCCAAAATTCAGTAGGGTTATAAAAAAGGGAACACACAATCGTTTCTTAATGATTTTTTGTGAACACAAAACATGATTTGGTTACACAATGAAATAATGTAATACTAGTTTTATGATATAATTTCAAATTTAAGTTAAATATGTTACAGTGAACATCGAACAACGGGTACTTTCTTCAAGGTTCACAGTAAAAACCCATGGCATGGGCTTTCGTCCACACATTGAGCATTGATCTATCGAGTGAGGCGCGCCGTTCAGTATTCACCGAACCGTTCGAGCCAAAAGATGTCTGTGCAACAAAGGAGACGGTGGCTGTATTTAGCAAGTCTCACAGTGCTTTATAAGAAAATCAAAGAAAATGTAAAGAAAAAACGTTAAGCACAGCTACTAATTTATCATAACATTCATTTCTCATATTTTTGTGGGAGTAATCTTTGGACTTGACATTCCATAAACACTCACACAGTCTATATGTGTTAATAAAGTCTTCTATAGCGCTTTTGGAATTTACTCGCAAATCCATTTCTCTTAAAAACACGTGTTTCAATCACGATAAACAATACCAGACTGACGCTCGCCTCGTGCCACTCGCAGTCACGTACACACGTTCGAGTCAAGATTGACGGCTCGCTTCGAGTAGGTTCGAAGGAAATTACTTTCATTTAATTCCATCGAGCCGGCTCAGTGCGAGCCTTCGAGCTGTGAGTTTTGCGGTCCACACGTTGATTTTTACTCGACTTCGAGTAAAACTATCGAGTAATACCGTATGTGAGTACTGACCTTTAGATTGTAATCTATCTCGCGAGATTATAAACTGTCAAAAGATTGTGAACCTCAGCGTACTGCTTACAATTCAACGTATTATTATTATTCGGTAGATTGTAATCTATCGAAGTGAAACCGTCAAATTGTGAAACGGATCGCACCTCGCGCGCTGATTGGTTGAACGGAATATGCCCCGCGCCTATAATATTATATAACCTCCTTGTTCTCCAAAATAATGGAAACCATTATTAACAGCCAGCTCTTGAGGTATCTAGAGGGCCACCAGCTGATTAGCGATTCCCAGTACGGCTTTCGCCGTGGTCGCTCGGCTGGTGACCTCCTTGTATACCTTACACATAGGTGGGCAGAGGCAATTGAGTCCAAGGGGGAGGGGCTGGCGGTAAGTTTGGACACAGTTTTTGAGGGTACCTCGGCATAGTCAAAGTCGCCTCGATATAATTTTTGTGATTAAAAATAGAATAAGTGCATAAAAAGGTTCAATAAAGGAATTATAATAAACTAAGTTATCGCCTACAACATATATCGTGTGGAAGCAAGCAAAGATATATGTATACTGTAATTATTCAGTTGTGAAATTTTTTTTGATTAACCGTCATACTTCGTTGGGAATAATTGGTCGTCATACTTCGTAGTCTGAGTCATATCATAAAAACTATAGTGAAAGTGAAGTGTCGTCTGTTTTAGAAGTGATTTGTGATCAATACTTTGATTATAAGACGTAAGAACATTTTTGAATAACTTAAGTTGTGTTATGTTCAATTTATTCGCAACATTTGTCGGCAACTGATTGGCACCTGTCCTTTCCATAGCTCTTCGGTATCTTTATCTGAAGTGTAATAACTTAATAAGGATCAAATCTTGGATTTTTTTATTGTTTTTTAATTTTTCTTTTTCGACAGTAATCATAAATTGAGTAAATATAAATAAATAACAAACAATGCCGAAGTGTATTGCTTGCGTCAGAGACCTGGATATAAGTACACAAATCAGGTGTACAAAATGCTTCAGAGGCTGTCATATTGAATGTGCGAATATTGCATCGGAGACATTAATTAATTCCTGGATATGTCCTCCTTGCTTATGCAGAGAGGATCGCGGTCAAAGTATTTCACCTGAAAATATACGTACTTCAAAGGCGCGGCGTAATAAGAAGGATATAGGATTGAGCGACCGTTGCGTGTCAAAAGATGAGTTACAGATGATCATAACAGAGGGTATTAACCACGCAATAGACTCCAAACTTGAACACCTAGAATC